CATACGATTACAACTGACAATGCCTCAAAACGAGCCTCTCATGAGTTACTGAAACAGTGGTGATAAATACCTGGCCGTAAGTTCTATAATTGGAGAAGAATCCATAATCATACTTGGCACATTTCTTTGACAACACCATCTGAAATAAAACATAGATAAGGGTATTTCCATAAATAGGAAACAACTATCCAGATCGGCCATAGCAGCTGTTATAAACAAAGATCTAAATAGTAATTTGGAAACAGTTTTTACAATTTTATAATAAAAGCTACATTATTTCCGTCGAGTTAGCTATTTAGTAACACCAAGAGTCACCGTTTGAAACAGTGTCTGCAGCACATTGTGAATATTACGGCGCACAATCAAACTGTATGAAGCGTCACCGTATATTAAGCAGTCACTCTGTATCAAGCGGTTGGTTGCCAAAGTCCCGAATGCGTTTCCCCTTATCCACTGTAATTTTCACCTCTATTAAGCGGTCACGACCACATTTTACTTAGTGCTAAGGGCCTTGTTTTCATTGACCTTTAAATTTATTGAAAGGTCACTAAGAGCTGGACCACTCAAATAAAACTAAGAATAATCTTTCAGGTAATTTCTATTCCACAGGTTCGACTGGAGACCCTTTGAAGCACGAAACGCGGGAGGAAAATTAATTCTGAATCTTTACACCCTAACATCAGTATGCATATTCTTCATACTTTTCACATGGCATTTCCTATGGCTCTGACGAGGAGAATTTGTTAAAGAATCGATAATATCTTTAGTTGGTGATTATTTCTATTATTCTTGTGACCTTACTGTGTGATTCAGGGATGATATTGTGAGGAGAAATTGGATGCTATCATTCCTAGGGGTTCAAGGTTAAGAGCGACCAGGATTGCGTGAAAGGCGTCGCTAATATTAACAACAACTTAGCAAAAAGAACTGAGATCATCAAGTATTAGATAGATTTAGGCGGAAACATCACTGACGATGGAGAGCTGCGAGGCAAAAGCTGAGCGTACCTGACCAAAGTGAATGAAGTTCTTAAAAGACGTTCCTGATCCCCAATGAGACAAAATAACAGGCACTCTGGACTGAAAAGCAAGCACAAGACTCCTCTTATCACCCAGTAATAAATAAAAAAAATCAAAACACTTCAGAATTCCCCTATCACGAACTCGACCCCATAAGTAGCTTCATACCATGTTTATGTTGGCACTGTCAAATCCAAACAGCTCTTCTCCCACGTCATAACAAATCTTTTCTGAAAATTCTCCGCCGCACACCGACTTCTCGGTCAACATATGGACCAGGTTATTCGTCAACATCTTCTCACTGTGATAGCTCTGGTATACATGCTGTTAACGAATAGTAAGCGACTCAAGACGGTGTACTGCTACTCTGGCTATTTAAAGCAGAAGAGGCTGTCCATTGGTTAAGAGTAGATTCAGGGAAGGGAAAACGATCCAAGTAATACGTTGCCCGTTACTAAAGGAATTGGAGCCCTAATAAGCTTTTTTGATGAGATGTCAATGCCCTCAAGCACTTCACAGCCTTAGCCTATTACTTGAATTTAAGCGTTTTGCGAGGCGTACCTTGTACTACAGTGGCAGACAGGAGACGCGGCAGGTCTACTGGTTAGGGTTGGAATTCTGTATCGAAGCGCTCAGGTTCAGAGCTGGAGGTTCATTGATGTCGTCCCGCAATTGAACCACATTATGGGTTTTATGCAGGAACCCCTTTTTAAGTAATGGGCTCCTGGTTTTATGGCATTAGCAAGTGTGGCTTGCACAGTGGGGGGAGGGGCAGTCTGTGATTAGTATTTACACAACTTACCAGAACTGGATACAAGGCGTAAGCAGCTGTGCGAATAATCTCAGAGACGTAACCAACAGTATAGACTGGAGCCAGGGCAAAGAACATCTTCACTTTACTCGCCAACTGGGGATTACTCGAGAAGCCTGTGAAGCCAATCAGAGTTCCTTGGGAATGACCCACATAAAACAGCTGAGCCTGCCCACTCACATTTAGCGCACGGTTTATCATGGCAGGAAGGTCGTATTTAGCCATCTCTTGCCAGCTATAGAATGAAGGGAATTTAGAGTACATTTTAACGAACACTATTCCAAAACCAGTCACAAGAAAGAACAAAGATGACAAAAGAAAAAAAAACCGAAGAAACAGAGTTAAGGTATCTCAGGATCCCTCCATCAAATGACTGTGAATTTCTCTGAAAATAAAGCACGCATGCTATTGATGTGTATTTATTTCTCAGTCATTTAGGAAAATCAGCAATGTAGGGCTCCAGACCATATTACCTCCAGTCCCAGAATTCCTCGTCACTCGGATCTAGTTTTATATGCTTCTGTGAATATCTGTTACCCCGGATGTTTCCAAGCCATACGTCAAAGCCCCTGTCTGCAAGGATGTAGGCCAGACTCTCTGAGCGTCCGTTTAGTATCCAGTTGGTGCTATCCATTGTCAGTCCATGTTGAAGAAAGACAACTGGTTTGGGAGATGGACTCTGAGTCTTATTCCATCCATGCGGAATCCGTTGCATGTTTAGAATGAAACCATCTTGAGTTGTAACAAAATGATTTTCCACAGGGTAACCTCTGTCCATGATCAGCTCGTTCTAAGGAAAAAAGTAACTTAAACTTCCATAAATGTCGCTAAAAATTTATTCAATAAAACATTTCGGACTTGTGAATGATAAACGTGAATTGATAGCTTTTATTCAATCGCTATTTCGGGCACACAAAGGCATCGTCTTCGATACGTTTTGAAACCTCTCAGCAACATGCTGCCTGAACCATAAATCTAAGTGTTATGCTGCTGCGCCAGTGGCCTATGGTATGAAAACGCATTCTTAGCCTGATAAAATGTCTACGAAACTTGAATTTGGACCCAAGTTGGACCTAATGTCAATTTTGTTCCCTACGACTATGGGCGCACATTCTATGCTCTACGGCACGAGCGTTTCTTCGCCGCGAGAAAGCTTTAGGCCTTGAGGAAAAGATCTGCAAGGGCTCTAACACTAATACTGACCTCTCGCTAATTCCCTTTGATCAACCTTCCTCACGGGCGAAGAAAACGTTCGAGTCGCAGCGCATATAATGAAGGCCTAATCTCTAGTTTTCCAAAGAAAAAGAGGTATCCAATATGACATCGATGTGAGATGTTTTACACATTTGCATGAAGAGCAGGGCAGGTAGGGTGATTTCCTCGCCGCTTCAAATTAATCTAGCCTCATCGATGCGTCTGCACTGTAAATTTACAACGCAGCTATATTTGCATTTATTATTCGGTACATTGTTCACCTATCTATACGAATTAGAACCAAGAATAACCTAAAACGCAAACATCGATAACAGTTTGTATTTATAATAGTGAAGCGCAATAATGTTATAACAAGGTCTCTGTGGTAATAATTGTGAAACACCGCGCGCGTTCATTGGCTGAGATTTGAGGAGGGTGGACTCTGGAATTGATGTAAAGACACACCACGCACGTGCATAGAAAATAAACTTTGGTCACTAAAATAACAAATTTCGACCTTTTGATTTGTTTGGAGAAAATCGACGCCGTGCTCTTACACGTACGATTTTTTTCAACACTTCAATAACGTCCTGTTGAAAAGAAAAATTCCAGGCTTCTTAATGGAGAGCCTGTTTGGAAATCGCTCTGACATAACAGTGAAGTTCATGTCGAGGTGCAATTGCTGTTAACGCACCACAGGAAATTTTCCGATGGTCCCGCTTACAATGAAGAGTGCGTATGTGAAATAAACCAAATCGGAATGGATTGTATAGAGGTTACAGCACATGAACTGAAAGCAAACCAAATGGCCCTAAATCATCCCAGAAAATCCGCACCTTACAAAGAAAAAACCATTGAGGCGATGTTAGATTGTCTTCATTCAAAACTAGTTTCCATTTAAAACCTTATATTTCGCCCATTGCGTAATGTAAACATACAATACAGAGGGTTACCTGTGTGCAAACTAATACGGTGTCAGCTTTCGAATTACTGACAAACAAGTGTATGCATGTGAGCGAGGGAGTCTCCTGTACTCTTCACGGATCAGAGATCTATCCAACCAATCTTTACGATTATCTATTCGTGTACGGAATTAGCACCAATTATTCCATCGAAAAAAAAAAAAAAAGGCTTATGAACCCTGTCAACAGAGAGCAATGGCTTTTCCCCTTCAGCCAAACGATACTCACAACTGCGAAATGACATATGCTTCGAAAGCTGTCATCAAGAGAAAACCTTTTCCCATAGAAGGGTATTGGCACGAAGCCCATTCAGCAAGAAAGTTTATTGGATGGCGCTGGGGGATGGGAAAAGGGAATGAACAAGGCGTTTTAGAGGCTGACCTGATAAATGTTGTGGATAGAAAGGGCGAGTGCGTTCAGCATAGCAGTCGAGCATAAGCCAACAAAAATAGGTACATCTTTTTTAACAAACGCAATTGTATGCAAGCTAAGTCGATCCGTAGATTAACATCAGTTGCCGAACACCAAGAGTAGGAAATCCCTTTCTTTAGAGGCAATCATTCCGGTTTACACACGTATTCAAGAGAATGAAATTCACAGATATAACTTTATGATAGGTTCATTGAGGAGAGAGAGAACCTTTTCCTTAGACAATATTCCAGAATTAGATATAGGTTACAAGCGAAGATTAACTAAAGAAGAACGGGAGAAGAACAAACACTGTTTCGTTAATAGGCTTACAATTAATTTCCGTTTGCTCAAAATTCTTTTCAATCTAGTGAAAGCCTCTTATCATCAATGAACATATCTCACTAGGAATAAAATGAACATACATTGAATGAAAATAGTGACGGTACTCGGAAAAGTTCAAGATCGCATTCATAACATTAAAATTTTTGGTTCCTTAAATTTTGATTGCGTCATATAACCATGAAATAGTCAATGGTGAAATAGCAAAAACCTCCTACCGCAGTTCTGTAAAGATCTGAGTCTTCCACATCATTTTCTTGAGTCTCTAAAGGCGCACATATCAGCAATGGGAAAAGCACTGAGATTAGAAGGATAAAGATTGTCATGATACGCACGGCCATCGTTGACAAATTGCGATTATTACAGGACAAAAGCCACACGAATGATGAACTCTGAGGACGAAATCTGTAAATAAATTGTAGTCAGTGAGTTTTTCGTAATTATACTGGTTAAAAGGAGAGAGGACTCAGGAAAAGTTTGGAATTTTACGAAGCAGGAAAAACTTCCAAACCTCTTCAAGAACGACGCAGCTGTTCAGTCTTGACAGATTTCGATCCAAGTTGTCTGTGAAGAGAAGGTTCAGGGAGAGGGTATAAGTAACACAAGTCACAAGACCTTTAACCACCCCTGCTGAGGGGAGTCGAGTTTCAAAGACGCGTGCTTAGGGAAACCGCACGAAAGGAAAACATGCGAAAATCGATCTGCTTTCTAAGCCGGAAAGGGTCGGGGCGTTTTGAAATAAAAACATTCAGATGAAAGATCCAATGCTAAATTATATAGTTCCTCTGAGCTCTCTGAATTCTGTTTATTTTCAATGGCAATTTTTTAACATATTCGTCAGCCTTAGAACTTTATTCATTCCAGGACAAGAAAAAAAATCTGTCTGGGAACTCATTAGATGAACAGGTCACGTGCCGATGTATAATAACGAAGCAAATACCACTTATTAGCCGGACTGCAATGTACAGTTAGGATGTCTTAGGATAGGAAGTCAAAGAAAGAAAGTTTTAAGACACCAGAAAAGGTAAAGCTTGAGCTTGCTGTGGTCACCTCTCCAGAAACGTGACCAATGGTCACTGATAGTATGATAATGTGACAAACTCTGCTCTTAACCAGTGTACAAAGAGGGTGTTAGTAGACTGCAACGAAACTCATGACGTAACTCTAAGTTCTTGGGTGATCTACCGAGTTTGGGGTACGATACCCGAGTAATTGCTGAACAGGTGATACAAATAAAAAGAAACTACCGCATTAATTGAAAAAAAGACCGCCTTTAAGGAAACATATCAAAAAGAGAAACAAACAAACAAGAGACGTAGAAGCATATAAAGACCATAACTGTCTTCGTACGGTGATTTCAACATTAATTATTTCAACAAAAGATCATTCAATCTCTTCGAACTACAATGAGAAGGAAAGATTTTTTCAGATGGGAAGAATGAGGTTTCTCGGTTCATGATATCCTCTTCTTGCAGGAGCCCATTATTGTTAAGTAATGGGCTCCTGCTTCTTGTCATTCTTACTTAAACATTTATTTTTCCGCTGTTATCTGACTCATACGCTGTCTCCTTTTACGTTTTGAGGAAAATATTTAACGAGTGAAGCGCGTGACAGGTGCGCGGGAGAGGATGGGAAGGGAGAAAAAATTTCCATCGTCCGCTTTGAAGTGCTAGTCTCTCGTGACCCCGCGGCTTCGTATTAAAAGTTAGTAGATAACTGGGGACAAGTCAGATGTTGTAAGTTCCAGTCTATTCCTGGTTCACGACCAGTGCGGACGAGCTTACTTGGCTAAGCTCGGTTGTCAAGGGAAACAGAAACGAAGAAAGTAATGCTGGTTCGATCGATTCGAGATAGCAGGTGCTGTGACAAAGTAATAAATGAAAAATACTACGTTTTAAATAACATATGATTAGAATTTTCGTCCCCTTTCGACTCCTCTCGTGTAACAGTCAGACGAAGCAGTAAATTTGATAGGCCTTTTGCGATCAGTTTATTGCTTTAATCAGATATAAAATTTGAGCAATTTGGACATCTTTGGGGAGATTAGTATCGTGATAAACTGACGCTAGAAAATGAGCCATGGTCCATGAACGCGATGATTAAAAACAACCACGTTAGCTTCAAGAAAAATAATCTTTCATCGAATCATATGCTTCCGATTTGTCTTTTTTCGGTAGTCCTTGGTAACTCCAAATAATATTTTATATAATTCTTACACTTTCAATAAATCTGCACTAAAATGAATTTCCTCTTCTGAAATTATAAAACATCTTTTCCCTGGATTGCACAGTGATCCAACATCAATTTGGACTTTATTTTTCACGTTAACAGGCCCAGTGCTGACTTCCACGATGCCATTGCTTCTCCACTCACGAGAGATCATGCAAAATTTTGACAAGTTTGCTGTATAAAACTTTGGCAGCATCCTCTCCAAACACAAAATCAACGTGATTCCATCTAGGTAAGAACTGAGTGAGTACAAGATTGCTAATTTTGGGTATAAGAGCTTCCACGTCAGTCGCGTTAGACAGTGAATCCTGGCCGGCGTAGAAAAATGCTGTGGGTGTTATCATCTTACTAACATCATACACTGGTGGTGAGTCCTAGGAAGGAAAAAACCAAACAAAATACTCACGAAAATTTGTCATTTGACTGAGGCCTAGTATTAAAATTATAACAATTTTCAATTGAGTGACGAAAGAAATCCTGTACTGCTTTGGTTTTGGTTTACTTCGTTCAGTGTTTGGTCGACAAAACCCTCGACACTCTCTTAACAAATCAGATTCCAAACTAAAACCAATAACGACTTGGTCACCCGCGTTTTCCTACGCTTTAGTTAGTTGTTTCTACTTTGAATTCTCGTTGGCTCTTACAGGATTTTTTCCTTCCTTTTGATTAGCCGTTGTAATTATTTTGATTTTGGTTTTACGAAACTAAATCGACATTAAAAACTATTGTCTTTGTTGTTTTGACCAAAGCAAGCAAATAATTCCTTGTTTTTCAGGTTGAACATTCCCGAATTTGTTATGATATTTTTTGGTCTATTTGTACAAAAAGAAACCACCAATATAAAAGTTTATTCTGCAGCTCAACTCAAGTTTTCTATTATACCCGACACAAATTCTTGATACAAAACGACACAGAGTCAATTAAACTACCTGATGGTAATGTTTTTGATTTCCTTTCCTGCCATAGTTAAACTTCTGACATCTTCCCGATAATATAAGCTGCAATTGGGAATAACAGTTAAAACATATTGAGAAACCTGGGACAAAGCTAAATTTTGAAGTCACCAGGTAGCCCCTCTTGTACATTCTATTACTTACTGGTAAGGGACCAGTTATCAGTTGGCTCCTGGGAGGGTGGGAGGGATTTTTAAGAGGATCGCATGATTTATCAAGGGAGGAAGGGGGGGCGGGGGGCGGGGGGCCGGGGGGCGGGGGGCGGGGGGCCGGGGGGCGGAGGTGGGATAAGTCGTCGCTAACAGTGTATCGAGTGGGGACTACAGAAAAATAACTGCGAATTGACTGCCAATGAAGGCGGATCATGAGAATTTTACTGAGCCTTATGGGGGGATCATGTAACTAATCGTGACACAACCAAAATCCTCCAGCCCCCTACCCAAAGGATAAATAATGACAGCTTCATAATCAGTGTAGTTCACTTTTTATTCATGCTAACCTTACGCAGTCTATCCTTTCAATTTAAGTATTTTTCCCTTTATGGAGCTTGCGATTTCGCCGACAGAGACCCTTGCATTGAAAACCTCATCAATACTAAAATCAGAATTGAAGCCCCTAAACAAACGCTTGACATGCTTGAGAAGTCACCTTTCGAATTTCTACATTTGCATCAGCGGTTAAATACCCCCAGTAAACTATACGTCAATAAACAAGTTTTATACACAGTTCGACCGACTTTTCAAACACCAATCATATTGCCTTTACATACCTGGCCGAGGTGGATGATATTCTTCAGGGAAGTACCCGCTGGCCAGTTTGAAAGGTAGACCGGAACCCGACTCTGGTGAAAGGAAAACAGAGAATACACAGCACAGTCCATTATAACCATTTATATGCCAGCACCAGTTTTTCATTAAACACCAGTTTTTCATTAAACATAATTTTACTTACCATATTGTTGTTACTGTCATCAAAGCCAAAAATGTACTCTCCAAGATCATAACAAGCCTGTTCTGACCACTTGCCGCCACAAAAACCGATATCTATAAGCTTCTGAAGCAGTCGACCAGGCAAGAACTCGATTTCGCCCAGGGGACGAAGAAGTTCCTGACAGAAAAAAAAAAATAGGAGCTTCTGTCAATCCTGGTCAAAATTATTCGGCATGGATGCCCACGATTAAGACACAAAACATCCACAAAGACACACGACAACAGACCGCTCAGGGGACACGTCATCAACATGTGGCAATCACAGCTGCTGGAAAACGGCCAAAAAATGACGCTTCATAAGGTAACGATTAAGCAGTCCACCCCACCCCTAGAGAAAAATTAACAATAAAAAGTTCATACGCCGCGATCCGCTTCAGAAGTGCATCACATAAGCCAAATATAATTTTTTTACACTTAATTCATACCTCAATTGGGTCAAGAGTGAAAGCCAAGTCCCTCAGTATTGCGGCAGTGTGGTCCAATTGGTAAATGGGCGCCAAGGCCATGAACAGTTTGACTTTCTTTGCAAGCTCGGGATTGGATGAAAAACTAGTGAAACCGACCAGAGTTCCTTGCGAGTGGCCGATGTAAAATAGCTGGTGTTGGCCGCTGACCTCTAGAGCGTGCTTAAGCATGGCTGGGATGTCATATTGAGCCATTTCTTGAAAGCTGCAACCAAACACATACTACTGTCAGGAGGAAATAGTGAAAATAGTGAAAACCATCATATCAATGTATGCCACAAGAAACTACACAGTTTAACCTTTTAACTCCCAGAAGTGATTGACACGCAACTTCTCCCTATAATATCCGTACATTATCTTGATTAACACCAAATTCTCGTAACTAATTTACAAGGAAGTGTGTAGCAGCTAGAGAAGAGAATTAACAATCAGATCTAGGGAATTAACGAGTTAATGACTTAACTTCCTTCTGTCTCATATGGGTTTCTGAGTCATCGTAGTACCTAAAGTGCCGTCAAAAGGGTAATTGTTTATCTCTCATTAAAACAGCAGGCCCGTGTCATTTATCGAGGGGAAAAATAGAACCTTCTTTCCTGTTTTAAAATCAGAAAGGTCATTAGCACTGTCAATTTTCTTTAATCTGTCAAAAATTATCAGCCTTCTTTCCACGGAACACTCACCTCCAATCCCAGAATTTTTTTTGACTCGGCTTTAAGACACTATTACGTCTCGAGTATCTGTTTCCCCGGATGTTACCAAGCCAAACATCAAACCCACTGTCGGCCAAGATGTACCCCAAGCTGTTATCCGGATAATTTTGGACCCAATTTGACGAGTCCGCCAAGAGCCCATGCTGTAAAAATACTACAGGTTTAGGGCCCTTGGTTCCACCCGCTCGCCCATATGGGATACGCTGAACACCGAGTGTGAAGTTATCTGTGGTGTCCACACAGTATTCTTCAACTGGATATCCACGATTCACAATAAGCTGACTCTAAGATGATAAAAGGAAGAGAGGAGATAAGAGATATGGACAGTGTTCAGAGCCATTTCAAAAACCGTTTAAATCCAAAAATACACAAATACATGTCGTCTCCTCATTGCTTTCCATACATTTCTATCAATGTTCTTCCATGAAGTTTTGTCAAAGCAAAAAAAATGCTAAATGGTTCGTCTCTTTCCCAAATCTCTTTCTGAGTGTGTTGTTCAAGTGCAACATAACACATTTTCCAACATGAATAAAGCAGGCGAACCAGCTCGATCACTGAAGCAAAAATGGTACTAATTATTACAGAGACGATCCGGCGGAAAAACATCCAATTTTCAGATACACATACAGCTGTTTTTAGACGGATCTTGTATTTTTTTTTAATTCAATTCCGTACGTGGCTCGAGACTAAAGAGCGCATGTCATGGAGACAAAAATCATACATGTATTTGTTTACAACGATTCCTAAGTTTACATGATTGAAGGTAGCCTCGTATTTCTCTTTGCAAGGTGCGTTTGGCATGTCTTAGTTCAATGGAAAACTTGGAATAAAGCAAAAGGACTTTTCAGTCCAACAATGACGTCACTGTCATCATCTGCTGTAATGCTTCCTACAATAAGACTGGGAACGAGTTTGGAACTAACCGAATTGACTTTTTCTGTTTTTCTTTTCTATTATAGTCGTGCCTAGGTCCTTAGCGAGAAAGTAGCAGATTGCACGCTTGTTATCCATTGCATAATTTATCTACTGTGTCTCGGATAACTTCAAACAACTACAGTTGATGATTATTTCAATAGCTTATTCAATTTAAGGTGTAGTGGAGGCACAGTGAAAGTGAAACTATCGACCTCCAGTCACGGAGTGTTGTTCCAACTACGATGTCGAAGCAAATAGCACATTCAGTGCAGTAAAAACTTGTATAACAAACTTACGACAATTATTTCAGTTCAATCGGCCGAGCCGTTACCTTTTCACCAAAACTGCGACCATATGTGTCCTTTGAGGAGCTACAGTTATCCCAAACAGAAAGCAACCTTCAAAGTCTTCAAGGAACAAATTGAAAAATGAGAATACTCACAACATTACGAAATGCGTCAGGATCCACTTTTGGACAACAGCTAGGCTTAGTCGATCGACCCTTGACAAACAACAACAGACTCAGTAAAGTGGCGACGAATGCGTCAAATATCATCTCTTTCTTCCAAGCCTCGCTTCACTATCATCGATAAGAGCAGGAGCAGGAGACACCTCCAAGAACGCCTTCTTAGAACTGAATCACAAACGCGAAATTTGAGTTCGCTAAATAGATCTTACTTTGCATGACAAGTCACGTGCTCTTGCAGACTGTCTGTGGGAATTCGACGGGGCAGTTTGGTGTAAAACAATTAATCGTAAACAAGAATTAAAAAAACGCAATCATCATTCCCGCATAAAGATTTCTATTTATGGCAGAATGCGTGATGCACGGGAACAGGTCATGCCTTGGCGTATTTTGCCTTTCGTTTTTCCTTTCTGGGAATTGACGATGGTTTTGTTTACAATGTAAATTCTTTCGTCACACAACGATTCTGTCACTTGCTCCAGTCCGGGTGTAGGAATACATTTGACCAGCGGCTTTCATTCGTTACCAAGGTAACCGCGTTGTTGTACTAAGGAATGGCTGAGAGAATCTGACTCGCCAAGTGAACAGCAATTTACCAATTTTCTCATAAATACAAGGCAAAAGAAAGTTTTCTACATCTTCGGTAAGTAGATAAATCTCTTCAATTTAATATTTGCGCGATTTACCCATCAAATCTTGCAAAGAACTACTTCAATCGTGGACATAAGATTGGTAGTTCTGGGTTTCGCCTTTCAGTTGGAAACTCTTGGAAAGGTTTACATATTGAGGAATTATTAAAAGATTTGTCCTGTAAAAGGTGGATTTCGATGCTCACAAAATTATTATCCCCTCAACATAAGCTACATGTGATAGTCGAGTCGCAGTACATGTGGAGTTAATCGATATTTATTTAGTGCACTTCGCGCTGTCAGTGTAGAAATATAATTTTAAAAAAACTCTAATTCAGAAAAAAACCCTTCAATTACGGATATCTTTGATGATCTCCAACACAGTGATATCGAAAGTGGTATAAATTACATTTACAGAAAAATTAAGCTTTGTTTTATTCAGAACTGAAGATGACAGAAGAACTGTCGAAACATGTTTTTAAAAAGTGTCGTTCATATTTTTTAAAATTGAAATTCATATGCGAGTACACAAGCAAATCAACGGGTGAACATGATAACTCTTATCTTAAGACGGTTCAAGTGTCATTGATTCTTACTAGAAATTGTGCAGAGGAAAACTTTAGAAAATTCCCTAAAAGTTAAAGTTAAGTCATTGTGAAACCGCATATTTTTTTAAACTCAAAGGGATTATACATCTGGGTTTGAGATGGAATGAAACTAGATGTAAACTGAATTTTCCAATTTTGAATTTTAGGTCTACATACCCAGAGGAGATTAAAATGTAACTAAAATATCCAAATTATCCAGCAAACAGGTTGTGAGAATACCCAAACACATCAAATTAAAGCTGTTATCTTGATCTAACACCAAATTTTTGTAACTAATTTACAAGGAAATTTGTAGCTGCTAGAGGGGAGAATTAACAATCAGATCTTGGAAGTTAAAGGGTGAATGACTCACAGTGAATGAAAAATACTATACAGACAATCAGAAACTAGAATTTACATGTATAATGATAACTTCATTGGCAGAAGCACAGAAATATGGGACGTCTTCCTTATGGACCAGGAAATGCCCACATTTTACAAAGTAAGGGTGCTGATGTTGGGGTCATGAAATTCTACTGTACAGAATATTCAACCCATTATGGTAAAGAAGGTTTCATTCCCCGGACTGGTCGTCATTCAGGCACTGGATATCAGTCTAATTTTAGACCAGGAGTGTATTACAGTCGGCGCCTTGATGAACTTGATAACCCAGCCATGGGGTAAGTTGAACATGATACATGCAGGATTTTATTTATATTAGCTAGCCAGAGCTTTCTAAATGAAGTTTTATGAAAGTTCAACAAACCAACAATTCCACTGTGTAGTACTTGGTTCAGATGAACAGGCCCATTTTAGAAATAAGAACTAGACCAGCTTAGCAGACAGAACCTTCTTTACAAAGGAAAGTTTGCACTGTATGATTCAAGATGAATTAATTTAAAAAATAAAAATATTTACATGTCCATAAAGGCTCAATAATCAATTTAACAAATAAATTCCATGTTCCCATGTGTCTCTTCAGTAACAGAGAGTAACAGTTACATGTAAGATAAAAAAAAAAGAGGCACACATGGTGCAGCCAAGTGTGCCACTGATTTTGTTGTGACATTTTGACATTTTCTGTGGTCTACCACAGTACAGACCCACAGCAAAATGAACTGTACATGTACATGTGTTTTTTATCTGATAAAATAGCATTGTTGTTTAACCCTTTAACTCCTGGAAGTGATTAACAAGTAACCTCTCCCTACAATATCCATGCACTATCCAGAAAACAGGTAATGAGAATACTCAAATGTATCAAGTAGAAGTTGTTATCTTGACCTAACTCCAAATTATCATAACTTATTTGCAAGGAAATGTGTAGCAGCCAAAGGCAAGAATTAACACTCAGATCTTGGGAGTTAAAGGGTTAATGACGATGTCATCTAGAAGTATGCATCTGTCGTTCAATAGAACATCAGTGAGAACCAATCAAAATGCATGCATAATGGAGCTTATCATATAATATCACACACACCATCCAGCTACAAAATGTACATGTATACAACATCACTGCACTATTTGTCATTATTTGAATTGATTAATAATTTTTTCCATGACAGACGTCTTCTGACAGACAACTATACGTCCATAACCAAGAAACATTTTTTGCCTTCCAAAGGATCAGGTGGCTCTGATCCTTTTTCGAGAGGGCTCTACATGACAGCAACAAGTGGATTTGTGAAGGATATTCCTGTCACTATTCCAAGATCAAGACAGGTCAGCTAGTGTTGCAATTCAGTCTTGCTGTTAATTACAGCATAGGTTTAGTGGCAGTTCCCATTGTCCCATCCTCCACTCTACCCAAGGGGCCCTTTGGTGAGAAGGAGATGCTGTTTCCTCTTTCTCACTACACGTAAGTGGGTACCAATCAGGGAGTTTGGGTGGAGAGACAACTGCAAGTCTAAATTATTATGTCATAAAAAAAATTCACTGAGGCCCCTGATAAAAGAAAGTTATACCTAGAGAAATGGTAAAAAATAGCCCCCAGTACCCTTTTCTGCTAGTTATAGGGTACATGAACACTTCTTACTTCTTCTTTTACTCGCTTATCTACATTTCCTAACTCAGTTACTTCACTCTTTTGGCTCTTCTTTCTATGTTGAAGTTTATAAATAGTTGATGACAAACTGCTGTTAAAACCTACATAGAGGTAACATGGGATGGACAGATATGAATATTTTGGAAATAGAAAAGTGACTTCAGGCATGAAAACTTGGATCTACACACTCTTTCCTTGTAAATGACTGAACAATGAAGGTTACTTTTAACAGACATCTTTAAGAATGGCCTTTGATTTTTCATAAATTCATGCAATAGGTGAGTGATGTACACATTGACACCAGGGCAAAAGGAACAGTTTATCCATTTCACCGTCCCCTGCTGCACACTCTGAAACAGAAGGATCCTATCTCCAGAGAAAATGCTTTCCATGTAAGTTGATAATTAAAATGTATACCAACTAGGCCTACATTGCTACACATAACAAGAACAGCTTGGCAAATTTTACAAAAAAAAAAAAGGGTTTTGAGATCATATTTTGACATTAGATAGTAAACTTGTCCTAACCTCTTCAACAACTTCTTTTCTTCAGGGACCAAGTTACATGTCAACTGAAAGCCATACAAGTTTCCTTGGAAAACCCAGTCAGAGAAGTGTGTACCACTTTTCTTCTAGGAGCAAAGTTTTTAATCTTACTTAAAATCTTCACAAAGCTAGCATCTTCAACAAACTTTTGTTGAGACATTTTGCATCATTATTGCTACTTATTTACAATATACTGGTATAAAATGTATCTTTTGTTGCTTCTCCTCCTCCACCTACATGTACAATGTACCTTTTCCCTTCCAGTCAGTGTTCATGATTTGGTCTGTATTATGATCATGTTTATGTGATATGTAGTTACCACAGGGTACAATTTGGCATTATTTTCTATTAAGAGACTCCTAGCATCTTAGCATAATTATGTAAAGTTCATGTAGGGTTACATGACGACCAGGCTGTTTCATTATGAAATATTACTTTTTCAAGGCACAAAGAGTATTCACGTACTCACAGCAAGAGATTTGGTATTGTCTCTTCAAAACTGCACTTGGAGCTATATTAATTCTTTAGCAATGCAAGTAGAATTCAGCATTTGATGTAATTCTTTTGCTGGTTTTAACTGCGTGACTTCCTGTAGAGGACTTGTTAAGATGTACACTGTACATGTATCATAAACCTCTTCTGCATACACTGCATGTCAATTGATTTTCTTTTTAAACTTTAAAATAATGATTCTTTTCTTTGATTACCCCTCAGTGGACACTTCAACCAAGAGTGTGGGATACAAAGAAGGATCAGGCTTTACACATGCTTATAATGACGAGCCAATCACTTTCAACCCAATGGAGGCTCATGAAGGAATAAGAGATGTTAGGCATCTCATATAAAATACTATCACTAATAGTAATAGAAATGACAAAATTACCTACATGTTATTGTACAATTGTCTTTGATCTATTGAAACTAATTGTCCCATTTGCCAAAAAAAACATTCATTTCATAATAACTACATTAAAATGCATGCTTGACCATTGTCTGATAGGGATTATTTAAAAAAATGAACTTCAATAAATGTTGAGGTCATAAAAATCCATTAAGGATGAAAAGATCAATAACTAGACTGCTTTCCTTAGGATTTTAGTCAAAATTATTATAGTTTGAAGTGACTGATGTACAGTTATTCTATTTTCTCCTTTCTTTACAAAATAGGATCTTATGCACAGCCTGCTAATTTGACTTGACCATCTTTACCTACTGTACATTATAGTTGTGCCTGATCATTTGGCTTAATACCTTGTTCAATAATGGAAAATACCTGTGGACCCTGGATCAGAAATAAAGTGATGTGTTTGGGTGATTTTAATTAGCTGCCCTGTGCCAACCTTGGTTGAAATCATAAAATCTTATTGCTCAGCATGGTAATTGGTTTAAAATTTATTTCAGCCACGATGGACACACAGGCCAACAGGCTTCAGTATTATGAAGAAAGATTTTCTTCCAGTTGAATATCTTCATGTGAGTTAACTTTCATGTATTACTTAACGCATTTGTGCATGATGAAAACACTAACTTCATTCTCTAATAGCCACCTGAGATAATGCTAATCAATTTAAAACCGTTAAAATACAACATGCAGCCATCAAGTTAGCAAAGTTCATGCACTTCACTAGATCTGAGTGATAAGTTTACATGAAAATCCATTTAGGATATTTTTTCCACACATTTAAGTTGCAAACATTAAACTTCAGTCTACAAAAACAATACTTGTGAACACGAATGACCCCTATATTTCTTCCAAGCTCATTACAGTTTGTTTGCCACTAATCACCTATTTTTATTTCTTATACTTTTCCTTAAACATTGTACTTTCAAAATAACATTATGGTTCTTTTCATTACACAACTGTCCAGGGCAATGAGAGTTTACCAGTTTTGTCTAATGGATCAGAACGAGGCACTGGGTTTACTCATGGCACAAAAGCAAGGCCAGTTTTTTATTCAAAGGTGGGACAGGTAAGAAATTAATCAGAAAACAAATAAATGCCATTCTGGGTTGGGTAATGTCTTTGCATAATTCTTTCACCTATACATACGGCAATGAATGAATAAATACATTTTTATCATAAGTGAAAAAAGTAGCAATCAAATGGAATTCCCATAAGGGGAAGGGTGACTATCAGAAAACCATGGGGGGGGGGTTAGATATTAGTCACTTACATTGTTAATCTGCAATTCTCTTCATAATTCTTGAAAAACACTCCCAAATTTGAACTTTATATTCCATCTCCCCCCTACCTCCTTTCAATTTTAGAAACTTCTAGCACTTGCACGTGATATAATTCAACATAAAGCAAAGTGGGTTTTGTCAAGATTTATAAATTGATGAGGGTTAGGGGTTTCACTAGCAGCCAGGTACTTACAATGCTGGCCGCGCCAAGTACACAAATGTCATGATCATACATCCTAAGTAATACACAAGTTATTCTCTTCAAATTGAATCAAATAAGCAAACTTCGAGGCACGATATGAATTGGAATAGAACTCAAAATTTCGGAAAATGCCACTTCCAAATTCCTCAGGGTAGCCGGGATGAAAGGCTCTCTTGGTCTTCAAACCTTCCTACATGTACGGCCGCCCTGGCCTACTTTTGACCACCCAATTAAACCATATGTTATTGAAACAACTGAAGGAGGTAGCTCGGACCATTTCTATTCAACAAATTTCTCCTTTGGAGGTGGTTGTAATGTATTTTTTTATGAAAAAATCCATCTTACAGCAAAAATTCACATCAAGTCCACATCCATTAGCAAGATCAGAGGGTTTTAGACACTTTAAGGGTTAAGCCATGTCACTAACATCCATATACATGTATTCAAACTAAAATGACCTCAGTGTACTCACAATAGTTGTTCACTGATCCATTTTACGTCCTCCTTTTCAGGATTACACAAAGCTTGGCGACCTTCACCCTCGGGTCCAAGAGCGAGTGAAGAAGATGGATCCAGCTGAGTATTCTAACATGGTTAACCCTCATGCTTTCGCCAGGTATCAAATATTTTAAAATTTCTTCAGATATTCTTGGTTTATTATCGAAATGTCTGTGCACCAGAAGAAAAATCGCAGATATACAGCTGATGTATTTTTCGGCTGCGTCCACCATGTTATTCCTTTCTTAGGAGATTGGGGACTAAAATTTGGTTTACGCGCTTGGGCGCGAAAAAAAAAAGCTCAAAGGGTTTCCTACTTATAGCCCATTCGCACCAATATACAAAGCTAAAACAAGTTTTAAAGGTATTTTGTCAAACACAGTTTAACCTTTTTTTCTTCAGAGAAGCTGCTTAAACTAATGTTTTTTTGTCTTCAAATGTAGCACATTGAAACTACATGCAAGTGGTTACTTGAGTCCTCGAGAAAATTCAGTTTTCCAGGCCTGTTTCTGGCTTTTATTCAGTCAAACCCGGTTTACTAAACATGTTTTGCTGGTGTGAGTGGGCTGTGAGAGTTTGTTTTCAAACAGAAAAAGTATGGAATACATGTTGTTCCAAACTTAGAATTTCCCTTGCAATTCCAAACTTAGAATCATCCCTCCAATAGGCCCCAATAGAGGGATAGAAATTGAAAATTTTTTTTGTAGCTACGGTAAATTGTATACCTACGGTAAATTGTATACCTAAAAGACAACTAAATAAATGTTACATATGAACACTAAATGGGCTGCTGACATGATATATCTTGGAAAAAAGTGTTTGCCATAATTCTTTTCAAAGCTTAGAATTGCCCTGGGGGAGTAAAATTAACTTCTACTTTGTCTTTGTAGTCACATCAGACATACTATTAGGCACCTGAAGAAGTGAAAATTCTGTTTTGCCAACATTCAGTTGCAAACACATGGTTGCCTTATAGTTTATAAGTACCTCAGGGTTACTTTTAAAAATTTAGCAAAGCTTACTGAAGAGAGATTTTCCAATTGGTTCCAAAAACTAAACCCACTTTTTGTCTTTTTCTTCTTTCCCATAGCACTGCCAAGATTTCATTCAAAGGCAAACAGAGAAATGATCCTACGGAAGCAGAGAGACTGGGTAATACATCCACAGGAACAAAGGTTGGTTGAAAAATTCAAAATTTACTGAAAGAGAAGGGGGAGAATTTTAACAGCGTGGATGGTGATAACCTTCAAATTTTATTTTGTAGCAGACAAATTTTCATTTAGGATCCCAGTGCATACACAAAGTACTGTGTATGTTTAAATTACATGTAAACTCTAGCCATACCTCACTTGACATGACCTCAGGATGGAACCTTATTTTCTCAAACTTAAAGACTTGAATGTGTGTGGCACCAGTTTCATTTTGAAGGAAAATTGAGATACTCATAATTTTTGGTCCAGGTGATATTTTGAAATTTTAAAGTAAAAAGGACATATGGGATGACTACAGTACTGCACTAGGTCCAAGGTACAGGATATTGGGTACCCAGTACCTAGGGTACAGGATATTGGGTACCGGATACCTAGGGTACAGGATATTGGGTAGTGACTACCCAGAGTACAGGATATTGGGTACCGGATACCTAGGGTACAGGATATTGGGTAGCGGGCACTCAGGGTACAGGATATTGGTTACCAGCACCCAGGGCACAGGAAACCCAGGGTACAGGATATTGGATACTGGGTACCCAGGGTATAAGATTTTGGGTACAAAGGTACCTGGATGTTTAAGTAGCAGGTACCCAGGGTACCAGGGTATGGGATATTGGGTACTTGGTACCCGGGGTACAGCTGAATATTGGATACCAGGTACCCAGACTAGAGGATATTAGGTACCAGGTATCCAAGGTACAGGATATTGGGTACAGTACTAGGCCATTTTGTTTCTGTTGGAGAATGAAATGTCATAATGAGAATTTTGTTCAAATAAATATGTTCACTGGGAAAAAAATTCCTTCCTCGTTACTTTGCTCTAAATGTAACACTGAATATGTGAAAAAGACTGATTTGCAAGTGGATAACCATGCTGAAAATAGTCAACATGGATAAAAATTATAGAGAATGTTTACTAATTTACTTATCCCAGGAGCCGACAGGATACAGCGAAAATAATGACCAGTATTTTGAGACAGCTGAGACTACAGACTCTCTTAAGAGATTTGAAACTCATTATAATGCCAAGTAAGTATACATTTGACTCACGTGAACCGACAACTTTTGCGTATATGGGAAGATTTTACAACCTTAAGGTCTCACCCTCTAACTCCCACGCTTGTCCTTACTCTCGACCACACATTTATGATTTTAGTTCGCGGAACTGATTCAGTAGCGGATCAACTTAGAAGCCCTTATAAGTTCTCATTACTTGTCTGCTTGGTATTGTATTGAGAGAATTTCTGTCCTGGTCACTCATGGGAGTTAACGGGTTAAGGGTATACTAGAGAGGGTGACAAATTTTAGGAATGTATGCATGTATAACCTATAGGTTAAAAAATATAAGGAAAAATAGAAGAGAAAAGAAAAAAAGGTTCTCATAAAAGAACAAATACACGTAAACCTATAACTTGAATGCAAGTAAAATACATAAATTTCACTCCACGTCTGATGATAAGTCCTTCTTTTGCAAACGTTTAGGCCAAGTTTACAATGAAGGGGCCTTATCACAAGCTTTTAACTGAGATTTAAGGACTTGTCAGATTATTTTATCGCATGGAATTACATGTAATCTATTTTTGCCAAAGGTCTGTGGTACACATGCACCAAGGCACATCCCTCTCTTCGCCACGCCCTGTTTAAGTTGCTTTCACTTCAGCTATATTCTTCATACTTAGCACGGATTTGACAAATTGTCGAGTATAACTTTCATTCATTTTGTCTTTAGACATGAAATTTTTAAAGCTTCGGACCCATTTTTTTTACCGCTTTCTCTCAGGCATTATGACATGAATCCACGGGGCGAGGACCGCTTGGGGACAACTGACGGCAACGTGATGATTCAGCTACCAAATGGCTTCACCAAAGGAACCAGCGTCCATACACTGGGACCTGATGTTAACACTACAGCTGAGCTCCGCTGGCACAAGCCCTATGTTTCTAGGTATTTTCCTCTTAAAGTATTTTATTTTATAGTCCTACTGTTACTTGTAATCGTAGCTACGCAGCGCAAGGAGGTCTTCACTCAAGATAACCTTCTAATGGCTTTTGCCTCATTACTCGACTATTTACAGTGGGTTTGCTTCCTTTTATCTTAAAAAACCCGCTTTATTTCCCCTGCCGAGACTTTTATGAGAGAAAGAGAGATGTGACCAGAGGAAGTTTGTGTTAATGGCTCTGTTCTAGTTTTGACACGTCATACTAAGAAACGTATTTGATTGCCATGTTGTTGAATCCTATTTTTTTTAGGAGTATAAAGGCCAGAGATCCCTATTACGACGACCACACGCATGACGCAAAATTGCGTACCGCTGTGCCAATAACTGCTTGATGGGTTGAAACGGTCGTTCGTCCAGACTTTATCACCGATAAGAATGAAGTTACGAAGTAGTCGTACCCAACTTTTTTTCGTTTTCAGTTTAACTTTAATAATGTTTGCCATTTCATACATTCTGTAGGTCGAAAATCAGTGTTTGGTGATAGTAAATTGAAGAAATATTCGTTCAGAGATGTTCGTTCTAGTTCTACACCCCCACTTATCGAAAACATACATTATTTTGGACAAAAAGTCTGAAATCCATTTCCGTTTACAAAATTGCGTCATGATAAAAGGGTAAGGAGCGAACATCTTTCAAAGCTACCCTCCCTTGTACAAGGTCGTGTATAGAACTAAAACGCTGCATCACTTTTCATTTTTTATTTTCCTTTTTTTACTGAGAAATAAATCTAAAACGATTGGATGGGAACGTAGCCAAAGCCACTGAATACATGAGAGCACAAACTTTAATCATCAACAACAACCAAGTGTATCAAAAATATTTTGTTTTATTTGTCAAAAGTAGCAAATTTACTAATCCTTAAACTAAGAATAAAGAGAACATAAATTTAACTCCTTTCTTTATCGTGGATTTTTCAGACTGATCTCTCTGTCCTATCACAGGACAGTAAATACCCTTCCATTTCATCCCGAGAATAATCTTACGAGGTGCCAAAAGCCGCCACCGTTGGTTTCAATGAGAGAGGAGATACCCGAATACATCAATTGTGGCTTAATTTTTTTGTTGTTTCTGTCATTGTTGTAGTTTGACTTAAAAATGTCCAAATAAATGAATTGCTTTTGCAGAATGAAGTTAGTCACAGAAGCAATTTCCGTGTTTTATCTTTTTTCAAGTCATCATCCTTCTTATTCTTCAGGCAAAACAGAGTCAGCGGCACTAGACCAGCCACATGTGTCACAATACCAGCCGTAAAAAACGCCCAGGTGTAGCAACCAGTTGTATCAATAATGAATCCTGAAATAATAAGATAAACGGGGCTATTCACAGAAAAAATTCTACTCGTGTAAAATTTAACTTGAACAAATGTTAGAAGTCAGCCTTGATTGTCTTCCAACAAACTGGTGAAAGAAAAATCGTAAGCATGTCAACTGCACAGTGAACCGTTTTAACTTAGAAGGGAATGTTTTGTCCTTATTAAAAAACAAACAAACATTTGATGCCAGTGAGTGTCGCTTCAACAATCTAACAGAGTGATAAGCCTGGGTCACGAAAAAGTTCCTAGTTGATTGAATTAATATTATCAGGACTACCCATACATGCACGATCACATTCGTCTGTTCTTTAAAAGTGGATGACGGATACAGTGTAAGTTTCTTAACTGATTTTGACAATCGCAAAAATTAGAAATGATCAAAGAGACCCATTGTCGACAGCAAGTAACCCTAACATGTGCTCACCTGCAAAGGGAGATCCCGACGCTATTACCAATGAGATTAGAGTATTTCCCAGACCAAACCCGGCCGCTCTGCGCTTTTCGTCCACGCTGAACATGAGAAGTGAGTTCATTGTAGTTATAAAGATGCCATCGCCAATGCCATAAATCACAGCAAAAACTTGAATTCCTACGTAATTTCTCACTACTGGAAGCACAACGATAGCAAATCCGTCGAGTAAAGCCCCAAACTGGTAAATATACATGGTATTAACCCAGATGACGTCACAGATCCTCCCTGTTACAAAACGAGCTAGGGAGGATGATAAACCAAAAGGTATGAAAAACCAGGATGCTGAGTCAGCAGAAATACCGAGTTCGAGGCAATAGTTCACCTGCGTATGAAGAAGACAAACAATTTACTGAGGACGCGTGCTATAAAATTATAATTCCCAAGGAAACAATAAATTTCCTTGTTCCCGTGCGGGGATTAAATATACTGTAGTAGTGTAGCCCATTCGCGACTCAAAACGCCCCTTAGCCTAATGTAAAACGTTTCATCACGAGAACTGACTTACCATATGTATTTGTGGGATGAAATGTCCAAAGTTCATTAAACAAAGACTTATAACCGCCAAGGTATAAGATGGAATTTTAAATACGGAGAAGTCTAACAGTTTGTTCAATTTTCCAGTCGAGTTTGATACCATAGTGCCTTCAGTATTGGCTGCCACCTCGAAAGATCTCACTTGATTAGTTTCTTGGGTTTCTGTTGGACAATTATCGTCAGTAATTTTTATAAGTTTTCTTTTCCCAGTCATTCCCATTCGCTCCCCACGGATCAAGCCCATTTCTGGACATTCTGCTCTCAAAGAAGGGAACTCTGGGTCACTTTGTTTCTCTACAGGATTATGCGAGGTAGTCTCTAAAGCATCCTGAATAGGTTCTACAAAAGCTACTCCAGAAACAATCGCCATTAGGAAGAACGGTACACTAATGATCCTGTAAGTTACTCTCCAACCAAATATGTCAATCAGGAGCTGTAGTGAAGGGCCCATAATGAGAAGTCCACTGCTGCCCCCGACTGTAACGATCCCTACGGCGAGAGATTGCCATCTACGAAAGTTCTTTGCTGTTATGAGAAAGTATGACGAAAGCATCAATGCTGACCCTGTGCCAAACACACAGCCGTAAGTTAAAAACATCCACTCAAGACCTGAAGAATACGGAGTTATTAGCAAGCTCACGGCACAAACTATACAACCAAGAAAAGAGGTGAAGCGACATCCGACGGTTTGGCACAAAAGTGATCCCAGAGGGCCAAGGAAGAAGGTTAGACCAATCGCCAGTGAACCTACCCACACTGAAATTTTAAAGCAGAAGACTTATGAGTACGTAATCACTGAGAGACAAACAAAAGTATTCAACTGAGTTTTCATCAGTTTTGCATATGTGCAAATTCTACGTCTTAGCAACCGATTCAATCTCGTTCTTTGGGTAATCCCCCTTGGAACGAGGTTGCAACTAATTGACAAATATATCATTGCGTATGGCATTCTGGGTATGCTATAGGAAAAGAAGTATTAAAAAGGGTTTCAATAGAGCGGATGACTGTAAAGAGTACCGGTTAAATATTTCGGCTTTTTAACGACTAAAAGTTTATTTCTTAATGGTTGAAAGAATATTTTCATGATTAACTTTTTTTACGACTAAAGGCTATTTTTTGCCGTTTTACGGCCAACGCTTCAACTCATCGAGAAGGCTAAATATTGCAAGAGATTTTGATATTGTACAAGAGGCTCGCTTGATCCAACTTCTTACTTTATTAGGCTCCAATTTTAAAATGCGTGGCACATTATCCCTAGAGAATTCGACCGATCAACCTAACACCAGTAGTAAAACTTAAATGGGGACATTTTTTTCTTTAATTCTTTTTTGTACTTTCTGTTGCTTGTTGAATTATTGCAAAGATTACGGAAAGCTTTTAGACGGCAAAAAGTTTTATAAAATGACACAATTACAGATGCAAACAAAACTCGTTTATGGACTAGTTATAAACGGAGGGTAAAAAAATAACATAAAACAAGTCAAAATTAATAAACACTTCACAAAAATGATATATGAAATGAATACGTTTTTTAATTTCCGTACCGGCTATACTCAAACTTATTGGCTTCTTATTAAAGAATCTTCCACAGTTAAATATCCCGTGTTATTTTTTTCTCATTTTCCATTCTTCCACCATATTTGGTACATCTTTCGGTCTAACACTCATCTTCATTTGCGGCATATGTTTGTCCAGTACACTTTCAAATGCGTCATATTGATGGCATCGAATGTTTCTCCAATAGTCCAGGGAGCATTTGCCAAGTCCTCATTAAGGTGATCCGTATCCACGTTTTTCACGTTTCTAAATATGATGGTCTTTCGTCTATGCTGTAATGCAGATTGCTTTAAAATGTCATAAATGAGGTGGTGATCACTTATCTCTGGTTTAAAAGGGCCTCCTGTCTTGAGAAGGTTGAGTTTGTTGATTTAAATAACGTCCAGCAGTGTCTCTGATATTGGCTTAATCCTCGTCGGCTTGGTAATTTAACATTGCATTCCATGCACTTTTTTTTAGGTCGGCAAGTATTTTCCCTTCACTGCTTTCTGGTTTTCGCCTGTCCAGGTTCAGATCACCTGTAATAATAAAAATCTGTTTCTTGAGGGAAGCCTACACTGAAACGTCATTCAGTTCCTCCTCAACACGTTCTAAGTAATGTGGGTGTTGTTAGTGATCCGACTGCTTTAGGGTCGGTATATCCCAAGAAAAATGACTTCGTTGTTGCCAAGGCTAGCTTCCACTGCAAGAATCTCGAGTGTTTTGTATCTCTTCGTTACTTTCAGATCCTTCGAGGGTAGACTAGAATCAAAATAGGCTATCATCCCACCGCCTCCTTTCTCTCTGTCTTTTCGATACATGTTGTAACCCGTTAAGGTGAACTGGCTGTTCGGGTAGGAAATGTCGATCTTTTTCTCTGAGAGAAAAATAATTTGCGACTTCATCTTATCATTCAGGAGTTTCAGTTCATCAAATTTATCTTGGAGGCTGCTCATGTTCAGATGGAACATTCATGACGTCCGATTGGAATGTTCCTGCCTTTCTTGCAAGAGCAGATCAAATTCCTGTTGGCCGCAGTTGTTAATTGCCATATATTCCTGGGAGTGAAATTGTGTGTTATTCATCTCATTTGCATTAGGTTGTAAAGAAGCTGATTTGCATAATTTCCTTTAGTAGTAATTATTTTTTCATCCTTAAGTAAAAAAAATTAGTCCCCCAATCTCGGTAGACAAGTCTATTCGATTGCTGGTCGTTCAAGAAAAAATTTAAAAGTCGATGTCGACGTGTTGAAGCTCTTTGCGTGAATCCACAGGCCACATTCAGCGCATAACTTCGCATTCTGATTATTTCGAACGCTCTTCTTACATTAGAAATCGCTTTCTACGGCAACGTTGCTTTGCCTCTGGGTATTTTTAGCTTGATTTAGATTTCGTCTTATAACTGGTTATATTAAATAAAAACGCGATACATGGAGCCATCAAAGTCGCAGAGTAGCAGGAGCTTTTCGAAGCGTGATCAATCGCTGCCGTTGTCACGCACAAATTTACAAGCCATCCAAGCCAAGATAAATCCCTACTGTGCTTCATTCAGATGTTATACATTCTAAGTTTCTTAATTGCAAGTTTGGTATTTCCAATAGGACACACTTGCGATTGCATGTCTTACGCGATTTATGAAATATGGAGTAAACAACGCTTACATTTCGTAACTCGTCAAAAAATGTCAGTGGCGGTATAATATCACAAAGTTATTTACATTGAAATTTACATGCATTGGGTCGGTAAAATCGTTAAGATATCACACAAACCGTAAAAATAAAAACAAACAAGTAAATTAATATATAAAATGGGTAAATGAATAAAATACAGGTATATCAATATATAAAATAATGATATAAAAGTTAAGTAAAGTATAAAATAATTATATACAACTGTTATTTAAGAAAAGCCGATAACCTATATTTAAAAGTTTCTAAGGAAGTTGATGAAACAATGATCTAAGGAAGGCAATTCCAGTCCGCTATAGTTTTTGGAAAAAACGAGAATTTAAAAACGTCTTTACTTGCATATGGCACGCGAAATTTAAGTTGATGGCTTCTCCTCGTGCGACTCTCGGAGTGTTGAATAGAATACTCTCGACTATCTATATCAATAAGACCATGAGTTAGTTGATATAGATAGCCGAGAATTTACTAAATATTGAAATCTTGAAAGACTGCACCTACACGACATTTGTTTGAATGGATCGGTCAAAGATCGCAGTAATTAGCTCCGGCTTTGAGCTAAGCTGTTTTGTTTAAATGGTCCATCACTATATCTCAACGATGAGATGTGAGTTGAAATGCAGCAGTCGCTTGTTGTAAGAGTAAACAGCACGGGTAAATAATTCAAGGTGAGAAACTTACCAGTTTTCTGACGGCTTTCGCCGAACTCTTTCATCAGCTCTGGAAGCAATACTCCAAAACTCATTGCAAAACCAAGATTTAACGCTTGACACATCAAGGAACAAACACTAATGAACCACGAAAAAAAACTGTCCGATCGGTGCTTTGGGCCCTTGCATGTCTTCGACATTTTGTTACTTTGCTTCAAGAACAGAAAATTCAAAGACAAAAATTCACCACTTCGAAACTTCCTTCTTAAGTTTTATCGCACTGCCTTGCTTCCAAGATTTTGGAAAATGAAAATCAGCTGTGCTGTTGGCAAGGGACCGGAGGAAGAATTGACACTCGTGGTCATCGTATGGTCAATATGATTATGTAATTATTCACAATGATTAAATATTCTCTCACACGGTGTCTTTCATTCGCATTGTCTTCTCCTGACTGCCAATTAATTCTCCCACCCCATTTGTTGAAGGAGATCGTTACTTTACTGTTCAGTGAAGATTCCCAATAATTTTAAAGCGGCTAAGTGGGTTTCCTTTAGGCAAAACCTCTTCCTTTATGTTATGTCACAGAGGGGCGGTAAAGAAAAGTGATGTCACTCTTCGTGAGTTGAGCCTGGTGTTGCGCACCGGTGAGAAGCCTTCGAAGGATCACATTTTTCGTGCATGACACGCTACCCGTGGACTTCGAAAGCCATGAGATACTCGTGAACCAGCATCTCTGAAAGCTTGGTCACAGATCATTAAAATACTTAGTCTCCTTCGTAGCTGTTCACTGAGATGTCACATAAGGGTCCCTAGGGGGAGTGGGTTGGTGGGGGCGGGAATGTTTCCTGACCTCCGGTTTAACTGTGCAGAGAATAGGGTGAAATCTTCTGATAGAAATAAATCAAGTTCGTGTGACAGCTCATGGATGTTTCAAAGAGTCCTTCACCCATCAGAAGTTTTTGGCCCTTTATTTTTCTTTGTGCAATTACAGTTCCTTCCCATTCAGTTAAAGAGGCTGGTAGACTGTAATTTCGCAGTCGGCTGAATTATATACCCAGTTTGATTGATTTTTTTTCATGATTCTTATTTATGATCCATTGGAGGACAGACACATAACTATCGTTTGACCTGATCCGTGATCTCTCACTATTTATATAATAAGCTCAGTTATGCACGCATTCTGATTGGTTCTCACTTATGATCTATTGGAGGACAGACGTATAGATGACGTCATCATTAACAAATTTTTTAATTCTTTATTATATGAAAAAATAGATTCCAAGTTGCCATGCTTCTGTTCAGTAATAGATCACAGAGGACGTCAAAATGTGGTAAGAACATCAGTGACACACTCGGCTGCGCCTCGTGTGCCACTTTTTTGTTCTTACCACATTTTGACGTCATCTGTGATCTATTACTGAACAGACGCACGGCAACTTGGAATCTATTTGTTAAACGGACGCACGACAACAGAGATTAGATAATGGCTCAGAAATTTGTTAATGTAATTCTTTACCCCTCTATCGATTTCTTGGGAACAGAAGGGATTTGGTTTGAAATGGTTGAGATGAAGACTTGCGAAATCAATATTATTTCGTTTTTTAAGAGGAAAAGTCTTGTTGGCCGCAAAAGCAAGTAAAATATACAACGCTATGTATAATCTTTGTAGGCATCATCATTTTTGTTTTTATCTAAAATATTTAGTCTTAAATGAAGCCGCTTCACTTCAGAGTAATAATTTAAGATAAAAGGATAACATACCCGGAGAAATCGAAGTATCTGCTTCACTATTAATGTTAGTTGCAAAAGAAACTTTCAAATTAACTCTTATACACTTTTGTTTAGAGACTTTTCTTTACAATAATTTGTGCTGTCAATGCCTGATGTACTCTGCTTCATCGATCTCCTACAAAGAATTCTACAAGGCAACTATTCTATTACTTCAACAAGTAAGGTCTGAACTCATGAAATGGGAGGTAACCGCCCAAAAATGGTTCAATTTGTGTTTTTTCCTTTTATTTGCAAAAGCCCTCGCAAATATTTAAATTCTTTATAAATTGATGTGACTTATTTTTTCCCTAAGAAGCCCTCGTAAATATTCAAATTCTTTATAAATTGATGACTTATTTTTTCCCTAAGAAGCCCTCGTAAATATTCAAATTCTTTATAAAATGATGTGACTTATTTTTTCCTTAAGAATCCTGCTGATTAGCATTTGCTTAATATTTCGGAAATGTGTACATCAATAACTTACAAGAGTGGTTTCCGAATTTTATCGTTTTTCAAGTCGTCATCCTTACGCGCCTTCTCCTTCAAGCAGAACAGAACCAGTGGCACCAGACCAGCTACATGTAGCACAATTCCAGCAATAAAAAATGGCCAGGTGTAGCAATCAGACACATCAATCAGGAATCCTACAATCAGAGGACAGGTGGAGCTTCAAAATAGAAATCGATTGTTCATATTTCTACTATAAACGGAAAACATTTGTCTTGCCTAAATGCTGCTGCATTCTAAAAAATAGAAACGTTGAGAACCGAGGAGGTGCGACTGCACCACAATTTGGATTAATAGACTGAGTTGGATTCGTGGATGGATTTAAATGGCTTGATTGTGCAAGCTTACCCAATATAGAATTTCATATTCAGCAAACGATTACGGTGCATAATCAAATCCGCAAAATTCTCCTTGGTTGTCTTTGTTTTGAGTTTCGAACGTTGTGTGTAGGATTTGCTTCATCTTGCCTGCTCACAGCAAAAACAATTATCTTCATTTTGGCGTTTTAGGATTATCCACTTCAGGAAAATTACACCCACTCTTAGTTTTCCAGCTAATATCAAGTGTTTCTATTAATTACCAATAACTGACAACTGACAAACCTGCAAAAGGAGGTCCAGACGCTATTGCCAGTGACAGTAAACTATTTCCCAGACCTAACGCGGCCGCTCTGCGCTTTTCGTCCACACTAAACATAAGAAGTGAGTTCATCGTCGAGATCAAGACACCATCAGCAATACCATAAATCACAGCAAAAACTTGAATTCCTGTGTAGTTTCTTATCACTGGAAGCACGACAATTGCAAACCCGTCGAGTAAAGCCCCAAACTGGTAAATATAAGTAGTATTTACCCAGATGACGTCACAAATCCTCCCTGTTACAACACGAGCCACGGAGGATAATAGACCAAAAGGTATAAAAAACCTGGATGCTGAGTCAGCAGAAATACCGAGTTCGAGGCAATAGTTTACCTGCGTAGAAAAATATTTGACTGAATTTAAAAAAGTCTTAAGCTCATTCTGCACGGCGTTATCTTGGTTTCGGTGGTGAAGAGCGAAAAAAGCATTTCGTGTGGAACCACTGACAGTTAATTGGAATCTATCTGTACGACCAAAACTACAGAGAGGCACTGAAAGATTGGTTTCTTATCCAAGACCACCTCGCTGTACGTAGTCTTGTGCGCTCAGAATAAGCAAACGTGCTCTAAATTTTGAAATTTGATCTTGCACCCTATTTAATATTTTAATGTTTCTCTGGCATGCATGGCCAACCATTGACAGAGACAGAAACGAAACTGGAATACGACAAGGTCAGGTAGGACAACGGAAAAAATAGCATCCATAAGTTAAAAATACAAAAAAAAAAAAAAAAAACACCTGAAAAATGAAAACAGTAACAAAAAGCCAAAAATAATATCCACTGACAATCAGGAATCTTCCTAGAGTAATGACATCGGCGAATCAAAACAAAAAACTAAGTAAGGTAATATAATGGAAAACCAGTCAGAAATCAATGTGAACTGACAACATGTTTACGGCCTAGTGCCCTGGTAATCGCAGGTACTAGGACTAAGACGCAGTTGGTTTTGTGATTTTCAGACTCAGTGACTGACAGCTGCCCTGAACAATTGCAGGCTATAGTCAAACAAGCCGTGGATTATCCTCGAAAAAATCACTGGAAAATTTCTCAAAGTAAGTTCATCAAAAATTTCATTTCATCATAACTGGCTTACCATATGTATTTGTGGAATGAAATGTCCAAACTTCATCAGACACAGACTTAAAACCGCCACCGTATAACATGGTATCTTGAATACAGAGAAGTCCAAAAGCGCGTTCAATTTGCCCAAACAGTTTGCTTCCCTACTGCCATCCGTTTTGGCCGCAGCATGCGAAGATCTCATTTGGCTTATTTGCTGGGTCTCTGTTTGGCATTCGCTTTCAAAAATCTTTACCTTCCTCTCCTCATTAACTGTGGTTTGCTTTTTGTCGATCGCGTTCATCTCCATTTCGGGATGTCCTTCGCTCTCAGAGAGGAGCTTTGAGTTGCACTGGTTTGTTTTGCAATTACGTGACAGGTCCTCTGAAGTATCTGGAAGAGGATCACCGAAAGTAACCCCACATACGCACGCCATTACAAAAAAAGGTATACTAAGGATTCTGTAAGTTCCTCTCCAACCAAATATGTCAATCAGGAGCTGTAGTAAAGGGCCCATAATGAGAAGTCCACTGCTGCCCCCGACTGTGACGATTCCCACGGCGAGAGATTGCCATTTGCGAAAGTTCTTTGCTGTTATGAGAAAGTAGGACGAAAGCATCAATGCTGACCCTATGCCAAACACACATCCGTAAGTTAAAAACATCCATTCAAGACTTGTAGAATGCGGTGTCACTAACAAGCTCACGGCACAAACTAGACAGCCAAGAATAGAGGTGAAGCGACATCCGATGGTTTGGCACAAAAGTGATCCCAGAGAGCCAAGGAAAAAGGTTAAACCAATAGCAAGAGATCCGACCCACACTGAAAATGAAAAAAAAAAAAAAAAAAAAAAAAAAGCAAGTGAGCAACAAATGAAATGGGAAAAGGTAAGAACATAAAAAGGGCGACTAACAACAGTGAATTTTCTGATCGAAAAAGAAAAGATCTTTCCCTTGTCAAGAGGGTCTATAGTTTGCCTAATCTTCATCGTTTCAAACCTGAGTAATGGAAACATTCTTGCAGAGTCAGTTGTGGCAGTTATACCTTTCCGTCTAAGCGCCAGTTTGCTTTCTGTGAGCGTCAGAGGTCCTAACGTCAACATTTTATTGGCTGTCGGCTATTTGCAGGGGCTCTGTACTGACATAGCCTGCAGAACAGGCTTGATTTTTTTGCGTTTCAGTCGAATGGAGGGAAGCGCCGAGCGGCGCGTAGTGCGAGTCGCGCGCGAGGAGAGAAGGGCAATATTCTTTGCCTAGCGCTTCGCGCGCGCGCGCGCTCGTGTACCGCGCTTCGGCCCCGCTAATCTGTCTGTTCTGCAGGCTAAAGTTGACATATTTCAGCAAGAAGGCATGAAGCACGGTTGTAGATAAGAGCCGGCAGCCGGCGAAATACGCCGGCTTCTCTGCAAGGTTTCGCCGGCTACTTTCATTGCTTCGAGAGCCCGTACAGAGATGATGTTTATCAGGTCTAAACTTGGGCTCAATAAAAATATGAATTTGCACTCCCTATCTTTTCTTAAAACATAAAAAGACTTCTGACTCAAGGTTAGTTTAAAAACTTTCTGATGGGGACTGTCTTTTTGACAAATCTTGCTGCAGTGGCAGGAAAGTACGAACGATATGACGTTTTGTCCGCCATAATGGATTTCGAGACCCACAACCGTTTACCTTTAGAAAAGCTCCGGCTACTTAAAACCTTAAAGAAAACCCTGACGAGGGCAAAAATTTCGACAACAAGCCACCTCAAAAAGAAAAAAAATTGAAATGAAAAGGATATCCATATAAAAACAAAAGGAAAGTGGCAAAGATTCATGAAAATTCATTGCAAACGGGGCTTTATATCCTGAAATTACGTTATCGTGTCGACCAGATGTCGACCTAAATACGTATATTTGAGTACACGAGCTTGTGAAATGCTTGATATCAATTGAGACAGCGACTGAGAAACTCACCAGTTTTCTGTCGACTTTCCCCAAACTCCTTCATTAACTCTGGGAGAAGCACTCCAAAGCTGAGCGCAAAACCAAGATTAAGTGCTTGGCAAACACAAGAACATACGCTAACGATCCACGAAAATAAACTATCTGGTCGGTGCTGCAAAATTTTGTCTATCTTGGTCATCACGTAGTCTGGTCTCGTGAATAACAAGGAATTCACATTAGAACAGGACAGGTTTGAGTTGGTTATGCCAGCTGACTCACGTGCTATTTTTCGTGTAGTAAAAAAATATACAGATATTTCCGATAATTGAGTGTCGAGACATAAAAACGATTAATCCTTGGTATAAGTTACTCATTAACACATGTTCTCACGTACTCTCGCTGGCATTGTAGTAAACTCGATAATCGATCAGTATCCATTGTTTGGGAAATGAGCCCGCGCTTCTCCCTAGGGGAGATCGAAGCTTGAGAAAACGCCAGGGATCCGTGAGGCTAAATTTGATTAAACAAATCAAATTTCAGGGGTGAGGTGACGAGAAGAATGAAGGATAATCATAGGCACAAGCCATTCAATATCACACGATCGCGAAGTCACGCATTCTTGAATAACGTTTTCTAAGAGGTACTTAGGTTTGATGTGAACCGCTCAGAATTCCTTATGAAAATTTCCTTAGCTCAACGATCGCACAATTTTTCTCACTTTTATTCCTCTGACTATTACAAGATATTTGTAATCATCAATTATTAGGGACTTCTAGTGATGTTTGGAGGTTTGTGATGTTTGTGGATTTTGGAGGCACCAATTAAGACAATATTTCTTTATCATTCATCAAACTTTAAGGAATATCTATTAAAAAAGTTATTCATATGCGCATTCTTACGTGTAACCTGTTTGGCGTTCTTTTCCGTCTCCTTTTACCCAAGTGGGTGAAGTGGGGGTTACACGAAATAAAGATTGAGAGGGAACCAAAAAAGTCTATCGGTTGTCGCTTCGCTCATGCTTCTCCTGTTCGGCTAAAAGGTCGACGGGTTACCTTCGGCGAGAGAAGTCGCTTAGAGCAACTTAGAGTATCTTTTGGTGTCAAGGCAACTTCATGCGACAATGCACCGCGTCGCTATAGGGAGCTGACGTCGCACCCATCTAATACAAATATCCCATATATATAAATTCTTTCAGCCCGGGATTTACTTTCTTGTATATCTAACACACCTGGTACACAAAATTGCAAATTTTAGTCTCTCAAAATAGTTTCTTGAAGCCTTACTAACTAGCAATTTCCGCCATCCCTATACAAAGTCACAGGACCCTGTCCTTTTTTCTTTTTCAAGTCAAATTGTTTCTTCGTTTTGAGGCAGAACAGAACCAGTGGCATCAGACCAGCTACTTGTGTCACAATACCAGCCACCAGAAAAGCCCAAGTATAGCAGTCAGAGATATCAGCCAGGAACCCTGGAATAGAATAACATCGGAACTATTCACACTCCGTCAGAAATATGTGTTAGCGATAAGAAGGGAGTGGCATTGACGAATTTATATAATTAAATGGGTTGCTTTTTCATGTATTTCTTCTTTCTTTATTCAGAGAACAAGCTGAGAATTTACCATCGTTTTTATTCCAATTATACACAAAACGCTACTGCTGATCCCTGCATTATGCAGGACACGTGTCACATACATACTTCACATATGGCTCCTTTCTCCTACGCTCATGACAAAACAAATAGCACTTTTCGTTCGGTTAGAATCGCATCCTAGTTCTAGTTACTGGTCAGTGGCGCTCGTGAGCGTTTTGGATTTCCAAACATACTATTTCAAAGTGTAACAACCACCGAAACTGCCGGAGAGCTTGAGGACGATTCAGAGAACGGCTTTTGATGGGGCCAGATGCTTTTGGTTCGACGTTAATTTCCATCCCGAAATGGCAGCTAAACACCTTGCAAAACCAGTTGGGGTTGATAACCATGCACGTAACGTCACAATATGGCGACAACTTCGGTAATCGAAGATTTTCGTACCTAATTCGAAATGTTTGCTGTTTATTCATTATTACGTTGCTTTTTATTCATTATTACTCGCCGTATGTACAAATGATTATATTGAGGTACCGAGACGAGCGCTGAAAGGGCTGCGCCGTCCGCAAAAAAAGTAAAATAATACTGATGGAAATTATTGAGACTGAGAAAACAGAAGAAGAAGCCATTGTATTTTACAGATCTGAAAAAGATCCGAAATTTTTTACCTTTCCATTTGTACAATTTAAGCTGCGATCACAAGTTCCAGTCGAAACAATTGCTTTAGTAAACTCAGTGTGGTTCGGCCTTCGGACGTCATAATGAATATGTTATTGTTGCCTCAGTAACATATCACGTGAACGTGAATCTGACCAGCGATTGGTTATTGTTTTGTTTTGGTCTGGGTTATCAAATTTGATAAATATCCTGAACTGAAAACAAGACTTGATTTCTCACGCTCACTGCCGTCTATAAAAATGCCACGCTTAAAGAACAGGAGAAACCGACAAAGGCTTGCTTGCTTTTCAGTGCTACATTATTTCACAAAGTCTCGTCGTCATAAATAGTTGGTGTTAAAAAAAAACTGATCGAGCTTACTCACCAGCAAATGGTGATCCGGCCACTATTCCAAGTGACAGAAGAGTATTTCCCAGGCCTAACCCAGCCGCTCTGCGCTCCTCGTCCACACTGAACATCAGAAGTGAGTTCATTGTTGTAATAAAGATGCCATCAGCAAGACCATAAACCACGGAAAAGACTTGAAATGCTGTGTATTTTCTTATTACTGGAAGCACAACGATGGCAAATCCGTCTACTATAACTCCAAATTGATAAATATAAATAGTATTCACCCAAGTGACGTCACAAATCCTTCCTGTTGCAATACGAGCTATGCTGGATGATAAACCAAAAAGTATAAAAAGTCTGGATGCCGAGTCAGCAGAAATACCAAGATCGAGACAATATTTCACCTACGGATTAGGACGAAAGATAGCTTAGCGACCGGTCATTATTTACTGCCATAAAGCTCTGTAATATTCTTATGATTCTCCCTCATTGGAAGATCATTGGCAGATCATTGGCAGCCAATTTTATCCCCCCTTTACGATCTAATTGTGACGACTGACCTCCTCCCTCCCTCCATTACCCCTGGAAAACATTCGATTCCCCAAAATACTCCTACTCCTCCCCTCGCCTAACTGAATTTCTTTGCGCGACATTATCCTGACATGCCAATAACGATAATGTTGAGATTTGAATGCCTTTGCTCAAAAACCCCTGAAAACATATCAGCACAAATGAAATAACCCGATGATAATAAAAAGTGTTGTTGTTGTTGGTTTTTTTTCAGAGTCAAATATCTTGGCAATTCACCTTTTGGGCTTTAGATTTCACGTATAGTGTCACGTGACTTTTGATGTAAACAAACCCCGAAAGTTCGGGAAAAACGTTTCTTCGCTCAAAATTGCCATCTTTCTTTGTCATTTATCTGATCGTTTGTCAAGCAAGTTGTCATTTCGCTGCCGTTGAAACAGATACGAAGAATGTTACAGGAAGAATTGCGGCATGGAATAATCGAACTAGTTCTGCGTACAGTGATGTATCTGATTAGGAATTTTCGGGGTGTTGTGTGCGTAGATTGTTAAATAAAATCACTTCTGTCTGAAAATTAGTGCTCACGAATCGCTGTAGAACGTGAGGAAGCCTTAATTCCCACACGAAATTACGTAAATTACGTAAGACGCCAAGAAGAAGAACACTTCTTTAAAGAGCGAAGTTATTTAAGAAAAATTTCCAAAGCCGAAGTTTGGACATATGTGTTTCGAGCTCGACTCAATATCCGAACTTTCGGCGTTTGTTTACATCAAAAGTCACGTGACACTACACGTGAAATCTAAAGCCCAAAAGGTGAATGTCTGAGGATGACTGCATTGATCCAATAGTAATCATTCAGAGCGAGAAAAAATGCTCCATGATATGGTTTTTTCGTTTTGGTTAGAGAAATTCTCCAAGGCGTTATCGTGCACCTCTTAATATAGCAGAAGTAAAGTGTTTACTAGTTTTTGTTTTTTTTTTTGCATTTAGGATTACAATTACTAACAGTGACTTACCAGATGTATCTGTGGTGTGAAATGGCTAAAATTCGTCAAAAGAAGGCTCAATGTCGCCACAGTGTAAGAAGGAACTGCAAACACGGAAAAGTCTAAAAATTTGGATAGTTTTCCTGAAGAGTTGTCCGTATTGGGGTCATCTGTGGCCACCACCTGCCGTGATTTGGCTGTAAATAGCATTTGTCTAGCCTTCTGGTAGGCGACCACCGGCAGTGATTCAATTCCATCTCTATTTTCTTGTTCATTAATCTTGCTTGTTCGGCTTCTATAAACTGCTGAATTTTCAGAATCTTCCATGAAGTTCATGTCTATTCTTCCCACTTCCATGGCACACTCGGCCAACTCACCTGCGTTAAACGTGCAGTTCTGTGAGGAAGTTTTAAATGAATCTGAACTGATAGGATCACCAAATGTAGCTCCACAAATAAACACCATTACAATGAAGGGTGCACTAATGATCCTGTATGCTCCTCTCCAACCATATTCGTCAATCAGGAGCTGTAATGAAGGGCCAATGATTAAGACTCCGATGCTGCCCCCAACCGAAACGATCCCCACTGCGAATGACTGCCACCTTCGAAAGTTCTTAGCTGTTATGAGAAAGTAAGATGAAAACAGTAATGAAGATCCCAAGCCATACAAACAACCATAAGTGAGAAACATCCATTGCAGACCAGAAGAATATGCAGTGAGGAACAAGCTGGCACCACATAGCAAACATCCAAGTATGGCCGTGCAGCGGCAACCAATCGTTTGGCAGAGAAATGATGCAAGCGGACCAAGAAAGAAAGTCAAACCGAGTGCCAAAGATCCAACCCAAACTGAAATTGCAAAAGAAAACGATTTTGAAAGTTAGCAGGCAAAGTTATCCATGCGAATATTTGAACACCTTTAAGAGCTCAAGGTCACGCTTCCTATGTCTTCGACATGCAGGATTATACTTTTTGCTAACGATTAGAGTAAAACCTGGAGACAAAAACTTAGTCGCCCTTATCAATTTTAATTTTAGAGATGTAAGAGTGACTCTGAAGACAGTCTAGATAAGACAACCCCTGGATTTAATCATGCACTTGGCTGTTTTCTATTTTAATATTTTTTTATTTTAATATTTCTTATTTAATCATTGATTTATTTTTTTTAGTTTTTTTGAACCCTCGAAATATTACCCTCACCCTCGACATGTAACCCTCGACCCTCGACGCTCGAGGCAGACTCAACGAAATGACTTCATTGATCCG